TAAAATGCTATTCATTATGGCTGCATATTATCCTATTTTGCCCGTGAACAGTAGTTTTTGGGAGCACTAGCAGAAGAGGTTAATTCCTAGCTTCTTTCATATTGGTCTCAATGCAGTTACTCCTTTGCTATTATCTAACTCTGCAATATTTTTTTGTGTATGATTTGGTGGATAAAAAGCAAAACATGTCTGATTGGGAAAGGTGATTAAGGCTTCCTATCCTCTCTCTCAAGATTTTGTCTGCAAATCATTAGCTTTAATTGTAATAATTTTGCTAGGCATACGTAGAAAGGAAGAAGAATATCATATGAATAGATTATGTGTGTGTGGTTGAGTATGCCTGTGACTATGCTTACTTTTTTTTCTTTTTTTTTGCAGATTGGCAATTATTAAAAGACTGGACAACTCATGCCCTGCTGGGTCATCATTTGACAGATATTTAATTATCTAAACAGAGAAGCAGTATGACAACAGGTGGGCAAAAAACAGTGAGAGCAGGAGTGACTATGATTTCCCCATTGCATTTCCCTGTAGGAAGCTGGTAAGCAGCATAAGAAATCTGACTTCCTTTCCTTTCTTCCTCCCTCCTTCCCTGACGTGTTTTTGTGGAAAGAGTAACTAGAAAGCTGGAATTGACTCAGAGCAATAGTTGTTGTTGTGGAAGTTGTGTGATTTAATAAAGAATGTGCTCCATTGTTGTGTGTCCAATCTTTGGAAAGCAAAGAACCCTCGCAAGCTACATATATTTTTGTTTGCATATTTATCGTATGGCCTCTTTGGGAACAAACCCATCAAGATTAGATTAAGTAGTCCATCTGCATTTAAAAGATAAAGAAAGTCCACATTTTGGACAGAGAGGATAACTGGTTTGAAAGAGGCCATCTCTATCAAAATTGAACAGCCCTCTCTCGACAGAGGGAGAGGGATATGGGATCCAAGAAGACTCCATTTGCACTATTCCGGTGTTCCTGACAACAGAAATAAATCTCCAAGTAGCCTCAACGTCCCTCTAAAAGGATGCAAATGACCAGCTGCCTGCAAGGAGTATAAATCCTTCCATTCCCCACCATCCAGTCAGAACTGAAGAAGCTTCTTGGATGAGAAGTGAAACGTCTTTAAAGAAGACACAAATAAATCTCCAAGTAGCCTCAACGTCCCTCTAAAAGGATGCAAATGACCAGCTGCCTGCAAGGAGTATAAATCCTTCCATTCCCCACCATCCAGTCAGAACTGAAGAAGCTTCTTGGATGAGAAGTGAAACGTCTTTAAAGAAGACACAAATAAATCTCCAAGTAGCCTTAATGACTCACTAAAAGAATGCAAATGACCAGTTGTCTGCAAGGTATAAATCCTTCCATTCACCATCATCCAGTCAGAGCTGAAGAAGCAAAATGTCTTCAAAGAAAAACAAGAAAGTCCAGTTGACTCTTGAAAAAGCACCTTTGGGGCAACCATGACCTGGATGCTTGATAGACATTTAACTTCTGAAATAGTCATACATCTGTGACTAAACACAAGAATGGGACATACATTCCTCTGCATGCAACTTTAAGAAACTTCCTCCCTTGTACATTTTTTCTATATATGCCTGAATTCCAAATTTTTCTGAAGATTTTCTAGAAGTTGGAGGTCGGGTGCTATGAAGCATGAGACAGTCTTTTCTTTGAGTTAAGTGAAAATTACTAATCATTTCCCTTAATAATGTTACATAGCAATCCTGCCACTGCAGTGTAAATTTCACTAATAGTTTGGGAAACAACTATGTCTTCCTTACATCTGCCAATCCTCTTCAATTAGCAACAGGTGATCATTCAGTGAAAGTTTATTAACATATTTCCTCTTCAGACTGCATCATGTAGAGTTCCTTATTAGAGTGGGAATCTGCCTTTTTCCTGACTCAGTGGAGACAGCATCCCTGTGTGGCAAAGTTTAAGTCCTGCCTCTTCCTGCTGAGATTCCCAGCTTTTGTGACTCACAGCCACTTGAACTAGACATGCTTTCTTATCTCTCCCTGAATATTGTCCTAATTTCTCTTCTTTCCTTGACTTTTTATTTTATTTTAAATTCCTTTTTTTCCTTCCCTTTAGGTTCCCTTAGATTTCTCCTTCGTTGGATCCCTGGAGGCTGCCTGGCTTCCTTCAGAAGCAGCGCTGGTGATTGCTGGAGGGCATCTGCAGCCACAGATGCCCCTGTAAGTGATCCGGTGGGCCCAGGGAGCATGGAAGCTAGGGAGGTTTTGTCCCCGTTGGTGGTTAAAGAGCCGTG